CAAGTGGAAATTACTCTGCCTTGTACAATAATTTAGAGAAATTAGTGAATGGTTTGGAAAAAGAAGTAATATCCAAGTTAAATTGCTCAGCAGTTGACCCTCCAAGGTAATTAAGCAAATTTAGTCTTTGCCGTTATTGATGTCGAGCAATTCTTAGCTGTAGTTTTAGCATCTGTAGTTCTGTACAAATGGGTGTTTTTTTATGTTCAGATACGGATAAGATTTCCTGATTTAGGCAAGGTTTACTAATAAGTTTTTTACCCCATTTTGTCGGATTAGAGAACAACTTATTTGCATATTAGGCCAGAACAGAAAATCACTGATTGCTCTGATATAATATTATATGAAACCTAACTGTGTTATAGACTTATGAAGTTCTCATAGCATGCATTCTGAGCTTGTTTTTGTGTGATTTCTGACCTTAAGTAGATAGAAAAGAGTTGGATTTATCATCTTGGTCAAATCTCTTAAATTAGCATTAGGTCTTTAATACAATGATTTTTGCTTGTTTGATCAAATTGTGGTACTAATTTAGTCTTTGAAGCTTGCTAAACCTTGCTTATGTTCTTATGGTGCTTAAAGAGTTGAAGGAGGTATAATGATGCTCACTGAGTCCAAATTTTTGTAACCCGGTAAACACTCGGAATGATGAGATGAACTAGCTGTTTCACTCATAATCAGACAAAGCATAAAATGGAAAAGGCATAATTTATGATAAAATAAAAGATTTAGACTTGAAACACTTAGGTAGAGTGACAATGCCTTGTGATGCAGTTGTATCGTTTTAATAAAAAATTAAGCTATTTATATGAAACTCTTCATCGGTGTTTAAGCATGCTTTGTTTATGGCTATTCTCCTTCACAATTTGACGGTTATGGTGCTAATTAGTTTTTTACTAATGGAAAAATGAGAGTAAAAACCTGGAAAGAAAATAAACTCTAAATGTGCTTGGCAGGAAGAGAAAGGGAGAGGAAAGAAAATAGAATGATGACTATTTTTCGTCTTAATGCATAAAAGCAATTCATTCTAAGTTGTAACGATAAGAGGAAAGGACCAGTAAGCTGTTTGTTGATGTGGTAACAATGTTAACCCCCATAAGGATGAGGAAACAAGTTCCAATCCTCGGAACTGCACTTGCTGGGATTGCTTTACCTTCAACCCTCTCAGCCTGATAGGAGATTAGTTTTCTACTTTCAAGTCCAATGTGGTTTGGAGACACCCTCAGTTAACACACACAAAATATTGAAGTTAAATGGACTTTGGCTCTGATAAGAATTTCAGATTCAAATTTAATATAGAAACATGGCATTGTGTATAGTAGCAAAGTGGCTTGTATAGTTGGTTGGTTCTAGTAGTTTGGACGTTCAATTTGTGTCATCTTTGAGCATGTACTGAATCTTGTCATCTTGAACTTCTTGCAAGTACCGAAACTGACGGCATAGTTTGACCATTGAATATTGATGTCAATTGATTCTATTCGGTGTTACCGTAACTTGTATCTTTTGTCTATACAGTGTTCTTTCATTTTGCAGGTAAGCATCTTCACACCAGGGTTTCAAGCTCCAACTTCTATGCCAATGGATGATTCAATGAGAAGGCAAACGGGACCATTGGTGTTCAAGGTTGCCGTGTGTGTCAGTATGTGTGTTTGTTAGTTAAGAACATTCTGTTGTTTCTATTTGCTGTCATACCACAATGAAAGAAACATCATTACAGAACATATAACACATGTCATTTACATCTTTAAATTTGACTACACTTTTGATTACAATTAGTAAAAAAAAGTACTTACTTGCATATAATGAAAGATTTACAATGTTTTGTTGTTGACTCTGCCAATTTGGAGTTTATTTCTTCTATGTTTCATTGGTAAAAATCTACATTACAAAATGGCATAACCCATATTTGCCATTAGTTTTGTTTCCTGAGAGGAAGCAAACTTCTATAGCTCTAAGCCGTATTTGTTTTGTATGCAAGATTTACACATGATCCATTGAGACAGCAAAAAAAGCAATGTGTTATTTTATTTAAGCATTGTAAAAAATAATGGATTTTAAAGCACAATGAGAAGAAAACAATATTTTATTAAAATATTAACAAAGATAATGATGAATGACGGTGAAATATAAAATTATAGATAATATGATTTTTAGTGTTATATTTTCTTACTTATTTGAATTATGTTTTTGTAATATAAATTAATGAGATAAATAATAATGATAAAGTATGCATAATTAAGTATAAATATAAAAGATAAATAAATAAATTATTGTATATAGAAGATATAATAAATATTATATCTTAGATAACAAAAATAATATACATCTTTTTATTATTATGAATATCAATGAAGAATTTCCACAATGTAAACATTTAGTTAAATGTTGATGTAAAATTTTAATATATTTTTACATAAATTATGTAAAATTTAATATTAATTAAAATTAAAATAATACATGATATATTTAAATACTCAAGTAATATATTATCAACAAATAGAATTTTTATATAAATAATTTTTATTTAAATATTTAGAATTTCACTTGTTAAAAAATAAATATAGAACAAGGACAATTTGGTAAAATATACATTCCAGTAATCTTTTATTCCTCCAACCAAACACTGTAATCTTACATTCCTGCCAAACTAACCAAACACAGTAATGTAACATTCCCAGTAATCCTATTCTCTAGTAATCTTTTATTCCTATTGGTAATCTTACATTCCGTGAACCAAACGCACCCTTAGGGGAGAATGTGAGATTCTCATAGGAATGGAATCCACATTCTCCGATTTTGTTGGCCGGGAATGTCATTCACGGTAATTTTATATTTCTAATAGTGAATTTTTTGGGGTATATTACCGGGAATGTCATTATCTCAATTTCCTTAGGTATTGTTGGATTACCGACGTTTTGGACTAAAATGCCCTTAATTTTTTTCTCTCAAAAATATCATTATTCTGTCATTGAATAATAAAAATTCTTTGAAGGTTAAATTACTAATTTATCCTTAAACTATTTTATATTTACAAAAAAAGTCTATAATTAAAATTTTATATGAAATTTAGAGGTTAAAATAAAATTTTACCCTTTCATTAAACATTTTTATTTTTTAAATTTTGTAAAGGAAAATTATATACATTTTATGAATATAATTTTTTTAAAGAAAATATATAAATATTTTTCAACTTGTTAAAAAACAAATATATAATAAGGATAATTTGATCAAATATACATTCTAATAATCTTTTATTTCTTTATCCAAATACAGTAATCTTACATTCCTGCTAAACTAACCAAACACAAAATATAACATCCTCAGTAATCATATTCCGAGTAATCTTATATTCTCGCCGATAATTTTACTTTTCCTGAACCAAATGCACTCTTATTAATATTTATAAGCCGGGGACTGTGGCCAGCTATGTCTGTCATGAAACAATAATAACAACGGACCGTTCCTGGAAATCTAGGTGATCATAGTGAAGAAAACGCAGGAGTGACCTTTATGACAACTCATCAAGACAGCTTTTTAGCACTTTACTACCATTAATGACGTTCATTCATCCACAAGCTTTAGCCTAACACTGTTTTCCTCGGGCTTGATTGCAATTTTGCATGGGATGAGTTTTTAGCTGATTGAGGCCCAGGTGGAAAGAGCCTGAGTCCAGTGATGAAGATGAGCCATCAGTTGGGTCGAAACTATAGTTTATAAAGCAAGGTCATGGCCCAGCCTTCATTTAGATGACCACCCAAAGTACTGAACTTGCACGCTGCCTATTACCAAGTATTTATCCTACCACCCAACTTATTTATTTACTATTTTTACTGGATTCAGAAAATTTATATATTATATTATATTATATAGTTGATAAATATTTATATATAATTTTAATATTGATCCTCATGTATATCTTAAGTCAGCATTACTGCATTGATTAGTATTTCTTCGATATAATAATAGTAAATAAAGGAAAAAAGGTATGATAAATTTCAAAAAATAAAGAGAACGGAGACTCAATAATGGAATTCAAAGGTGTTCCAACATTGAATGTGGCGGTGATTAGTTATTGTGCCCATATTCATAAAGGCTGGTTGCTTAACCAATCACGTTGCCCTTAAAAATTAGCTGTCATTTTCTCCTCCCAACTACTCCAAATAAAAGCTACTATATGCTACTGTGTATCGTTCCAAGTTCAAACCAAGGAGAAAACATATAGATGAATATTTTACTGTGTATTATTTATAATTGATTTTATACACTATTGTCTAAACATCGAAAAATATATGTGGAAAGCTGTTTTTTCAAATAAATTATTTTTTAAAATATATTTTTAACAAAACAAAACACACGTACTTCTATATTATGATAAAAAATAAAAAAAAATAAGGAGAGAGAAAAAACCTAAAACCAGGAATTATGTTCTTAAACCTCAACATTCATTTATTTTTCAACAGCAAATAGCGACCAACGGCCAACCCCATTCATGCACAAACTAAATACACAACACAGATCTCAATATCAGCATTCAATTCACTTTAACCCTTCAATTTGAAGGTTCCACTCTCTCGACCAAAAACTGTAACAAATTGTGTCCTGTAATTACTTTAACCCAACTCAAAAACCAATATGTACATGTTATCAATTATATATATGGAAATTTGATCAAAAAAGTTATAAATAAATAATGTTTTATAATTATTTAAGATTATTCTAAATAACATATATTATCATTTATATTAATAATATATTGCTTTTTCTTAATATTTAATAGCTTAATAAATATGGATGAGTCGTGATAGGCAAGTTGGGGTAATTGACTCTTCTAAAAATTTCAATATATTTTAGATTTTTTATTGATATTATACTTTTATCCTTATAATTTTATAAATTTATAGGCCTCTAACATAAAATCTTACCTTCAATAGTTGGTAAATGCCCATGACATGTAAACGATGAAGAGCATAAATCAAGATGATGAAATCAGACAACAGTCTCCAGGTCTCCAATTTTCCACTCGGGAGTCCAACTCCACGGACAGCAGTCTTAAGTTTCCAAATTCTAACCCAAATAAAAAAGGGCAAGTGTATAATTTTTTTAGTTTTCCAGAGAGAGATCTTAAAGTTGAAACGGAACCCTCTTTCACACGCTCTTTCTCATATTCACTCGAAGCAAAGTAACAGGGAAAGTAGAGGTGGGAAATAGCCGTGAGGCTTGAGAAGAGTGAAAGATGGCTGGTTATAGGGCAGAGGATGACTATGACTACCTTTTCAAGGTGGTGTTGATCGGTGATTCAGGAGTAGGTAAGTCTAATCTGCTCTCTAGATTCACCAGGAACGAGTTTAGCCTGGAGTCCAAGTCCACTATTGGCGTTGAGTTCGCTACTCGTAGCTTGAATGTTGATGGTAAGGTCATCAAAGCTCAGATTTGGGACACTGCTGGTCAAGAAAGGTCTCACTTTTCCCATTTCCCTGTCATTTTATTTCTTGATCCGGGTATATTTAGTTATCTGCTGATTTGCAAACAAACGTGAGCGAATATAGAAGGCGAATTTTGTTCCCTTCTCTCCTTGGAAAAGAACGCAACTTCGATTCTGCTGGAGTTTAATTCGTTCTGAAATTTGATTAGGCAAATTTCTCTTTTAGCTGTATATTAGAAAGAAAAAAAAGGGAAAATCTTGCTCTTGCATAACTAGATCTGTGAGCAGCATTGCTTAAGTGGTGTCGTGGTTGCTTGTTTTTTACAAATATGTTATTTATATTGATCTTGTTTTAATTCTAATATGATTGGGTTGCAAATAGATCGAAGATATATTTGAAGTCAAGTCAATTAGAAAGAAAAAAAAGGGAAAATCTTGCTCTTGCATAACTAGATCTGTGAGCAGCATTGCTTAAGTGGTGTCGTGGTTGCTTGTTTTTTACAAATATGTTATTTATATTGATCTTGTTTTAATTCTAATATGATTGGGTTGCAAATAGATCGAAGATATATTTGAAGTCAAGTCAACAGATCTAGAATTTTCTTCATCTTGTGATCTTGTTATATGGGTTGTTTGTATTTTTTTATGGTTGTTATTAGCGACTTCGATAATGAGCAAGAAGTGAAGTGATCATGCATTGCAATAATATGTTTGCTTCCTACTACTGGATGTAAGATTGGTTTCAAACTTTTTCATAGGGCTGAAATTGCAGAATGATAATCTAATTTTCTTGTCAGAGTTCCGTAATAAGTTGGGTTTAGAGAAATTGATGAATGTCAACAGCTTGATGATAATGTCTGTTTTATGTTGTTGCTTGCCTGCTTCCTAATTTTGAAGTCATAAAAGGATGACGATTGCTTACTTTTGTCATTTGTCTCCATGCTTGTAGGGATTTTGCAAATCTAGTTTAGCATCGAATCTCGTTTGATGTTCAGGTTGTACAGGGAATTGTAGCTACTTTGTGGTAATTTGGTGATGGAAGTAATGGCTTGAAAACTAAATAGATGTTGGTATTTTAGAGGGACCTCTAAGTCATTGTTTGTATGACTATTAAAGATGTTACAGGGAAGGATTAGTGCTTTAGTAAATTGTTTTGTCTTTTATTCTTATTTGGTTTAGAAGTTGTTACTTTTGTTTCATGTGGTTTCCTTTGCAATGTGGAATTCTTATCTTTTACTACTTGAGTTTAAGGGGCTTCTAGCTTTTCTTAGTCAAATAATGTTGTAGTTGAACACCTAACTGTTAGAATCTGGGTGAGATACTTTGTTGACCAATATTGATCTGGCAAGTGTTTTATTACTTTTAAGCTTATGAAAATCAACCATGTCCAATATGACCCTCTGCTAAGCCCCTTAAAGTTGCCACCCATACCAGGTGTCACGGAGTACAGTTGCACTGCCACGAGAGCTGCAGTTTCCAGCCTGCCGTTGTACTTTGTCCTTAGATATATAATCATTATCATCTTAGCTGACACATAATCACCAACAACCAAATTTGATCATCGTCTATTGCTGCTGCCTATGTGATAATCAATATCTAACTGCCGTTTGCCTCCATTTGTCTCCCCAGTCAAAAATCCTTTCCATCTTCTATTCTGTCATGTATCCAAAATTTTCAACTGCCATCAGAATGGTCGAGCAGTTCCTTTGTTGTCACCATAGCTTGATTGAACTCTAAGACTAAATAATTATGGTTGGCAAATGAGTGAATGACATGATTTTTTGGGGTATTGAATTGAAGTTCTCATTAGAAAAGTGATGAAAAAAGTTATATGGTTAGCATGTTCAAGCTCTATTTGTAACCGAGATTGTGGGGGATCTAAAAGAATAACAAAACAATAAACTAGGACTTTACTTACTAGTTACTGGTCATTCTACCAGAAGGGTGAATTCTTATGGCGTTTACTGAATTACTGTTAATTTGGAGGAATAGTATGTTGGTTCTGTAGCTGAGATGCTTAAAAAGCCAAGGCTGTAGTAGCCAATTAAGCTTTGATTCTATTGCTTCGCTCATCCATTCTTACAGAACATGTTATACCTCTAATTTTGTTGTTGCTATTACTGTTATAGGCTTTTGGTGTCAATGTCATGGCCTTGTTGTGGATTGATTTCCCTGTTTTTTATTAGGGTATAAGGCTTACTAAGTTGCCATATGTTTTCTTAGGTGATTCTTTGATTTGAAAATGAAAATGTAATTTATTGACCTCTTACTTGGAATAGGAGGTGGAAGTGGGAAGCGGATGGTGATAATAAACCAAGAGGAACCATGAAAACATCCGATTTTCAGATTTCTGAGCTGAGATATATTTTCTATATATAGTTTGGATTCAGATAAAGATTGATGGAATTGCTTTTGCATCATGGATTGATAGTGCACTACCGTAGTTTTAGTATCATGGTGAAGAGATGCATAATTAAACCCTTGATTTCTAGGGACAATGGGTGTTGGGTGTAGTTAGGGTTGATGAGGTTGACTTTCTTGTAGAAATCATCTGTTCCATGCTCTTCTGCTACTTTTTGTAGTTTTCTGAACTCCTCGTCTCTCACTGCTAGGTATCGTGCCATTACAAGTGCCTATTACCGAGGAGCAGTTGGTGCGCTTCTTGTGTACGATGTTACCCGTCACTCCACATTTGAAAATGTCAAGAGGTGGTTAAGAGAGTTGAGGGATCACACTGATCCCAACATCGTAGTCATGCTCATTGGAAACAAATCAGATCTTCGACACCTTGTGGCCATCCCAACGGAGGATGGGAAATCCTTCGCGGAGAAAGAGTTCCTCTACTTCATGGAAACTTCAGCCCTGGAAGCAACAAACGTGGAAAATGCATTTGCCGAAGTTCTTACGCAGATCTACCACATTGTCAGCAAGAAAGCGATGGAGACAGGTGATGAAGGGGGCGCTTCAGCTGTTCCTTCCAAGGGGGAGAAAATCGACGTCGGCAAAGACGTGTCTGCAATGAAGAAAGGGGGTTGCTGCTCGAGCTAAGGATGAAGATGTTAAAATCTGCAGCATATTGTTTCAAGGGATGCAGGCAATGGGATTTCTTTGTAAATATTTTTTCTCAAAAATGGTACCCTATAGTAGGATATGGGTGGACTGGAGATTGATTTAATTTACATAAAAACCAAATTCCAAAGGGCTGTTGATTTTAGTAGATAAGAGGCATATGAGGTACACCATTGCATTTAGATTTATTTATTTGTCTGAACGGTTTAGCATTCAACGTTGAATGGTTACATTCAGAGCCAAACAAACAGTCCCTTAGATTATTTATTTGTCTGAATCCATTAAGATCGACGCTAAAATTAAAAACATTAGTATTCAGTACGTGTTTTCTATTCAATTTTAGAAGTAACTTCTTTTAATATTTTATTAATTCATTTTCTGGCATAAGTATACTTTATAATTTGACATTTTTATTTGGCAAATTTTTTTTTAAATATAGTTTTATTTAGTATGAATATTAATTTATTATTTATTGTATTTTTATAGTTTATATGTTTGAAAATTTAATTTTTTAAATAATTGTCTCTGAAATTTAAAAATGAATACATGTTAGTATTTATTCCGAAATGGAGTTTAGATGATTTCTATGTAAAAATGAGGATGAAGAAGTGGGGCCGCCAAACTACTTGAGAAAAAAATACACACCAGCGTACGCAACTGCTATTGGCACACGCATAAATTAATGGCTAATCCCGATAGGAGAATCTAATCTGAGCCGGCATTTGTCGTAATTTATGTGCAATAATGGAATGGATAAGATTAAAATATATTTTTATATACGTCATCGTAGATCACTGCTCACGTTACCCCTCCTCTGTAATATGTTTAGTTGGAAATCAAAGCTTAATCAATTCCAAATTACAGAAATTAAATTTGACTTAATTATTAACCAATTAAAAACAATTTAAAATATTATTGTTATCATTATAAATTAACGCTTTTAATTATTTAACAGGAATTGTACTATTGCAAATTGCTGTGCCTTGGGTTTCGCCACGGTTAGCTTAATCTAAAATCGTGTGAGAACTCAAAACAATTGCGGTTTTCAGTGAATGATAAGAACTCGAGATATTTTACAATTATGGGTTTCAGGAACAAATTTTTACAGCCCACGCCATCATTACACAAAAGTCAATATTTTGGGCTATGGCAGCCCAATCATTTGAACTTTCATCCGATTAAAAATATCAGAATCTTCCGATTTCGTTTGTACACATCCAAGTCGGCTTTGGTAGGCCAATTTTAGATGCAAATTGCACCTTCATTTTTTGTAAAATACAAACCTCTCCCACAAATGAAAATTCCAAGAGAAAATTGCGTCATGCACCGATTCTAACTTGGATTGAATTGTTATGATAATTCACAATGGAAAGTACTAATTGGACTCTAATTTTTGTTCATTTTTGTGATAATCCATTCTGAATTGGTTAAATTAGACATGAGTTTTGCTTACACTGTAGCATAAAAAATGATGCAATTTGAAGAATATTATAGGTTACACCTCTAGATCCGTTTAGGGTTTTTTTTTCTATTAGAAGACGAGGTATGAAAAGGGAGACGGTCTACAACGGCCAACTGCCATTATTTGTTTTCATGAGAAGAAAGAGCTGGAATTGAGAATCGAGAAATGCCACAACATAACGACAGAGCTTGGAATTTCGGAATTTTTATTCATTTACCACACCGAAATCAGTGCCAAATTAAATTGTGAAAGGAAAAATATATATCCAAGTAAGTGAAATGTCAGAGTTTAAGAAGGTAAAATATTTTTTTTTTTGGTTGTCTCCGTGCTTTAATTTCGTATATAGATGATACGCACCGCACGGCGTTGAAACCGAGGACTCCTCTGCCAATAACAAATTGTTAATACTCCACGTGTCAGCAGATCCCGACCTGCGGTCCCACATTCCGCTGGTGTCTGAACACAAACGAGCACTCGGGCAACTCGTCGAGATCGGCGAATAACGACTCGTCCTCTTCCTTCATCGGGAAAACCATCTGCACGTCGGCGTCGAAGTTGTCCCTTTCCGTGAACAGCGGGATTTCCAAAACCGTTAACGACGTCGTTTCCATCTCCCCGAACCAAGCAAATTCGTCCCCAGTTGTGAGAATCGAGTCGTCCGTTAAATGAGCAAACCTCTGTTCGGTCCCTGATTCGTGTTCCGTATCATGTTGCGACGAAGATGGCTCGGGCTTTACGGCTGTTTTCGTGGTCTCTGCCGCTGCCGCTTGTTTAGCTGAGGCGCTGTTGTTTCTAGAAGCGGGACAAGGGTGATTGTGTTCGCACGAGTAGGTGATCACTAACATTTTTGGGTCCAAACGACTCCTCTCAACTTGTTTCCTCGCCGGACATCCTTTGGAGCTACTACACCGGTAATAACCTCTACCGGCCGCAAGATAAAAAACAGAAACCATCACAACGGTTGATAATCGTAGAACCCTAAACTTCGAAATTTACGCCTTTCTGTGCAGAGAAACGTTTAGTTTTAACTGCTAGTGACTTCACTTTACCTGGGATAAGGAGAGCCTTTGATGGGTTTCTGGCCGTACTTTCGCCAAGCCCAAGAATCGGACGGTGGAGCACTCTCACCTTTATAGCGGGAACCTTCAACGTCCTTGATCGACACTGACACAACTCTTTGCTGTATGGATTTCCTACTGTAATAATATAATAAAAATCCATTACGTCAAAAAAAATGCAAACAACGAACTAAACAGAAATTTACCCTTTTTTAGGGGAGAGTTTGGTGTCGTTGAAGGTGGTAGAAGGAGGAGACTCAGCGCCGGTTTCTGATGAAAAGTTGTCGTTATCTTCTAATTCTTGCTCAGTAACATAAGGGTTACTAGTTTTCTTGAAACTACCATCATCAGAGTCCATGATTGATGATTTACAGCTTGATTATTAATCCCAGAAACTGGTTGTTAGGCGAAGAAGAAAAAGAAGATACAGAGAGAATGGATCCTTCAAAAATGGAGGAGAGAGAAGGGGGAGGATCGGCAAGTTGACAGATTGGGTTTTGGCATTAGTTTATAGAGGACTCGTAAAGCAAATTGTATATATAAATTGTAAGCTTTTTTTTAATTATAATACGACATGAATATGACACCCTTATTAATTTATTATTTTTCATATTTATTACAACTGATTGGAGTTTTCCCACTATTTATCTCCTTTTGTATATGTATTGGATACCATGTAACCACTTTCGCTGCTTTTGTTTCTTCCATATTAATTCCATTGATTTTATGATGTTATAAATCATTTAATATTTTTATATTAAATTTAAGCATTCGTATTTAAATATAATTTTTTTATTAATCTAAATAAGTACACGATAATATATATTTAAAAACAATTCTTTCAACTATTTGATATTGAACGTTCATTCTCCTAATATTTAAATCAACGTCACTTGTCTTTATTTTTGGCTTTTTTAGGGTTATTGATATTGTTAATATTTGTATCTTTCTCTCGTCTAAATGCTTAACCGTTTACCAAGATATATAATCCAGTCAATTTTAGTGTACCTAAGGAAAGGTTTTAATGTGTTGGATTTTGGGGCTCCAAAAGAAACCAGCTACGTGCCTTTGATGTTAGAGATTCCCCCACTTGAGCTCTCATTACATACAAATTAAAGACAAAATTCAGAAATTATGCATTGGGTTATATATTACTTTTCTTTGTTTTGAGGCAGCCAATGATGTCCATCGGAAGTTTTCAAGAAAGATTTCCTTCTTTTAACCCACGTTAGACGTAATGGACAGGGAGAAAACATTTTTTGATTGGTCAGATTTTTTTCCATCTAGAAATGTATATATTTACCATGATTTCATCGTCAATGTTTTGACTGATTATGAGGAGCACATAAGTCATACACATACTAAAACAAGTATGATGATTAATCATTTTTGTCCTTGTCGGGGAAAATCAAGGGAATTTACAACATGTGTGATATTATTATCACCCATCATAATTACCCCAATCGTTTTTATTTTTAATACTGTAAAAGTAGTTTCATCATTCTATAATATGGTTGGCTAGTTAAGTAATTAATTGAAAGAGAAAAACAATGAATCGTGAAGCAATGCGATTATGATTCTCTTTCATATTCAGAATTGAAACAAAGTAGTATTATAAGCTTTGAATGAGTGTTATTAATTATTCACATTTTAATAATCTTCCCATCTCTGACTTCCCACAATTACCGCATCACTCATCTAACCCTCAATAGCTTTTTTCTAATATTTTTTTAGCAACAAATAGGGGAATATATATAATATAAAACTATTTACGTATTAATTTAAAGAATAAATTTTCTTCATGCATTTGTTCTAAATTTATAAACTAATTATTTCATTCAATTTATTTTACAGAAAAATATTTTGTACTTTTTAATACTTTGTTGGTATCAAAATTAGGGTTGTCCAAAAATTAAAAATTAGACCTCTATAGAATGAAATTATATTATATTACTTTGATCAGTTAATATTTTATTAATAAATAATATAAATATGATTAAGCTTTGTTAAATACATTATTTTTATTAAGAAAATACCTTAAATTAAAGATTATTTGTGAACAAAACTCAATTTTTTAAAACAAATTATCATTACTATTTGAATATTGGTTTCCAAAATTTAAAGTTGATAGACATTACAAATACACCACAAAATTATTAACTAAACTTTAAGAATATTAATTTAAAGATGGAAGAAAACAACTTGTTGTGAACTAAGAATCACCCTAAACCCTAAACCCTAAAAAGAAACACATTATAATTTGCAACCTTTAGTGTTGGAACTGAGGGCACAGCTAGATTTAAAGGCCAGGCAACCTTGGTTAATTGAAACTCTTTACTTCTGCCTAGAGGCAACCATTCTAGTAGTTTTGTTGATTTAAATTTTATCCATTTGACTAAGTACTTGATATAAAAACCATGGGCCCCATAACCATTTAAGAAATGCACTAAACTCTCACTAACAATATAATATATAGAGTGACATAATGATTTTCCTTTTAATATGATACAATTACATCTTCTTCTTGATCTCATCAATGAATATATAAATAAATGGATAGTCAATATGCTTACAAAATATTCAACGTAGACATTTTACGTAACGTGTTAAGATGGAACATAGGAGAAGATGGGATCAAATCTCGACTGCCTAATCTAATTGTATCATTAACCCTAGTTTGATTACACCGGATTCTTCAACATTTACAATGGTTTCATTTCCATGGAATTGGAAAGTTTCATATATGTTGATGGGTGGGATTTTTATTTACTTGTCATGTCAATTCCAGATTTTTTTTAAAATTCAAATTGGTGATTGGTTTTGAGTACCGACTGAATTAGTGCTTCTTGTATGACAAAATATTGAATTACCCAACCTTGAATAAGTCAAATATTTTAATGGGTCGGAAGTTGCCCAAGTCCAAAACATCAATCCAGCCCATTTATTGCCAATAATTTAGCGAAACATATATTAGATTTGATGAAATGGTGAAGTAATTATCATTAACTAAATTTAAACCCCCTACGGCAAGATTATTCCATTTATGTTTCATGTAGATCAAGGTACGTGGTGGATGGAGAAGTAGTGTTGAAGTGAACATAAATGTTGAACTTTTACCTTTTACTAATTAATGGGTGAAGGATGAAATATTTTTACCAGATTATAGATTGTAAATGAAAATTAAACTTCAATAAAAAGGCCCCGAAATGTGAGAGAATTGGTTTGTTTTCACATATTTTCTATTTCCTAAAAAAATTAGAAATTTTTTGTGTCTAAGCTTTAGAATCTGATATTTTATGTACTGAAAATTCTTATAATAAACATGGTTCCACTGCCGTCCAGAGGTTAGAATACCAGGAGACTAGGGTTTGATTCCGGCAATGAAAAATGTTTTTACCTTCTTACTCTTTTATTACCAGAGATGCATACACGCTGTTTTAGTTTTACTTTTTTCAGTACTCGATTTGCATACATATCATACACTGAACCAGACCCAGATAACGTTACATTTTACATTTTACCATACGGAGATGCATACGTGTCTGGATATCATACCGTATGAATCATAATTGTTTGCTTAATCTAACATTTGCAAAATCTTTCTATAAACGATCACCTCCTTGCTTTTTAATGGCCTTAAGGATGGCTTGAGTACCTCTGATATCAGTAGTTTGCTGGTTTTGAGCCACAGCTGTGGCTTCCATGGCAAAGAGATGGGTGCAAGGAACTTTAGCTCGAACAACATTAAGACCCAGTTCTTCAAACGCCTCTAGAATTGAGATCAATTTATCCCCTCCTTCGTTGCAACTCACTTTCACTACCAACTCTTCCCCTAGCTACCTTCTCCACTTTCACTTCCTGCTAACATTCCATGAATTATAAACATAAACAAACAAATAAAATCTGATTAAATTTATATAACCATAGATTACCTTTGGGATTTGCATATGTTTCAATAGAGTGAAGTATTGATTTCTGATAGCCATAAGATTTTGGTACTCGCCGTGTATTTTTCCCAACTTGAGTTTCAGCTTGTGACAATGGAGAAGAGCATTTAAGATGGCTGACCTCCTTTTAACCTTTAAAAACAAAATAGGTTAAGCTTTTCTGAAAATAAAAAAATCTCAAAATAATAAGAGTATATATATATATATATATAAATCATGTTTGTATTACAGATTTGGAGTTGGAGAGAGTTGACAGAAACTGAAGCTTCCTGCGAGATTGTTGTTCTCCTTTGCAACTTCGTTACCATTCTGAACTTGTCTTTGGATATGTATAAAATGTGAAGCAATAGAAGTAATATAATTTGAATGAAGCTTTTATATTTTATATGATGGGAAAAGGGATTCGTAATTGAATATGTATATATATATATATATATATGGGTTAGGATATAATGTAAAACTTTTTAGTTTTACATAAATTTAAAACCGTTAGATGAGTGAATATATATATATACACACACACTTAAGGGAAGATTAAGCATAAATAAGCTTTATGATATTGGGAGGCATTTTTTTTTTTCTGAATCAACGGGAGACACAAAATTAAGCGGATTCAATCTTAGTCAATTTAATATAATTATTGTTATAGTATCTAAAAATATGTAAATTTAAATAGAATTAATTATTAGGGTTGCTCTTAAATTATATATTATCATTTATAAATGATATTAGTGATTAAATAAGGAAAAAGGTAAAAAGAAAGGCTAAACTGGAATGATGTATAAAATGGAGTATGTGGTTGTCTTTTGGGTTGGCAATATTTGCATCGGAAGGGATGTGGGAATTGGGAGGTGGATGCACAAGCAATCAATGGAACCAAAAAGGGCAGAAAAAAGTAGAGTCAGTCGATGTTTGTGTATATATATAACTATGCCATGCCTTGCTGCTGAAACATATACCAGTCTTCACACTACAGCAAAACATGTATTTTACGATGTTTTTTTTGTCTAAACGCCGTTATATGTCAACTCTATTGCAGCGTTTTTACAAAAAACGCCGTTAAAGTATCAATTTGTGACGCTATGATTGTAAATGCTGCTATATGTTTAACTTTTGTGATGTTTTCTTTCCAAACGCCGCTAAAAATAATGCTACATATCAATCTTGCTGTAGTGTCACGATTGCCAGGCACCGAGTAAAAGTATAGAATACTTCAGCTTTATGATATAGGTTTTTACATAATTGAATTTCTTCATTTCCACACAAAACAAAACAACATATTAGGTATTGTCATGACAAACTTTTAAGAAAAGGAGTTTTCATCTTGAATCTCCACAGATAAACACTCATTTTTAACCAACACACATACAAACCACTGTGCTGTATTATGCAAATATATAAATTTGAAACCCAGAAAAGCTAGACAGTGGGATATATTCTTAAAAGGTGAAACCATGAACCCTAGAAGAAGAAGGAACGATAAAGAATTAAACAGATGCGAGTGTCAGAGAATGTGAGCTTAAGCCTGCCGGGGACAAACAAAGAGAAACCGACAAGAATATG